ATGCCTTTACGGTAGAAAAATGGTAGTCCGTTGGAGCAAGGTCTAGTGAGTACGGAGGATGACACATGGTTTCTAACTGCAACTCCTGTAGTGTTACAACGGTTTCTCGTCCAGTGTGAGGTATTGCGTTATCATGGAGCAATAATGGCGAAGATCGATTAAGGTGCCGGGGTTTTTTCACTGCCTGTTCCATCATCATTGTTCGAAGTTCGGCACAGTAAACATCTGCTGTTATTGCCTGACCAGACCTGAGAAAGCTATAGTGAATAACACCATGAAGAGACCACCAAACAGTTACCATTACCTTTTTATTGGTAAGCTTGGCTTTACTGTTGCGGTGGTTAGGATTGACTTGGGGTCAGCCATTGCATTTTTCGTTCACGGTTATCGTAAACAACCTAATTTTTGACACATGTCACAATTTGATCGAATATTCATTCATTTCTATACCGATTCAACAAGGCAACACAAGTTGCAACACGCATTTCTATCTGCAAATCAGGCAAATCAAGAGGCACCCATTTTTTACGTTTTTATCTTATCGATTTGATGCAAATGAATTAATATTGTAGGTCGGGTAACGTTAAACCATGCCGATAATTCCTGGGTAGTTTGACTCGGATCGGCTTCCATCATCTCCTTCAATTCAGCGTTATTCACCTGTGTAGGCGGTGTTCTACGTGATTCATTCTTCAAGACGAAGTTTCTATTACGAAAGCGTTTAAACCAAAAACGCACTTTGCGTTCATTAGCAATCTCCTCTCCAAACGTAGTGTTGATGCCGCATTAGCTTCGCGTCGGAACTTGTATTCAAAAATGGCTCGGATTTTTTAAGTATCCATCTTTCACGTCTAAGCTTGCATAACAAAAAACAATTGAAAGTCGAAAATCGAATGTTGCATATTTTCTAAAAGAAGAACCTCATAGGTATCATGTGAAAGAAGTAACAACAAAATCTCACACAAAGAAGGTTTTATGTCAATTCAAGGTATCTATTATACTATACAACGGCAATTTCATTATTTAACCTCTATTATTCGAACTTATCTGCAGTTTTGGACTTAAAAATATACATGACCAAAAATACAAAATTATTAAAAGTGTTCTTTTTTAAGAAAAATAAGCTGTACTAATATGTATACAGATAGTTCATAGAGTAATATATATAGTATAGACAAACTTATCTTTTAAAAGTTGATTTGTGTATTGATTTGATAAAAATGATTTTTTTAAATTAGTTTATTAAGTGCTTTAATCATATACCATTTAGATAGCATGAAGAGCAACGCAAGCGGCGACCTGGGGTCGGCGGTAGCATCCTGATTACTATACCGAGCGCTGCTGTCAAATTATTGCAGGTTCGGATCGTACTCAGGATACTACCAAACCGAACCCACTCCTAACAAGCATTTCATCATAGCTGAGAAGATTAATAGGAAAACTAGTTTTATGTGAAACACGTTGCCAAAATAAAAAAGGGAAAATTATTATTTACCGGTCTGAGTCAGCTCACTTAAAATCAGTTAGTGTGTCACGATCTAGTGATACAATTATAGTTCTGAGTAAGTTTTGTAACTAATGTTAAATAATATTTCTCATAACAATCTATATGTATCTTATTCTTTCATAAGTAAAAAATTATAGATCTTTCCAAATTTGAATTTCAATTGTTTTCTACGAGCAATCATAAACACATTTCTTGATAAAGGAAATGAGTTGAGCACAACTCATTTCGTACCCAGGATCCGAGACGTCTGTTGTACGTATATGTTGGTATGCAGGGCTCTACAGGTTGGTACGTGGGTTCACTGCTACGCCACAGGTTGCTCGATAATTAACGACTACAAATAACTCTTACAAGGGGTACTCGTAGCACTTCGGATATACGACTTTAACTTTACAAAAGGTACAAGTATTTGTAAGTACATATTGTAGGTTTATTTTCACCGGAGTAGTGGTTTTTTAAAGCTAATCATTGTCCGTTTTTTACAGGCCATATACACATTAAACTAAGGATTACTTCATTAGATGACAGACATTAGGGTTTATAAATCTACATACTATATATTAATACTATATATTATACCTATCCTATAACGCAAATTTCGCGAACCAAGAAGAGTAAAATTTGGAAATTTTAATGCTTATATATTATAGAGGAGCACAATCAGCTTAAATTATCAGCAATACGAGCTATATTTTTAAAAAAATATGTAAAACAGTATTATAATTTCCCGATTTTCAGTATATACGTATTTTACTCTTAATACGGAATGTCTATAAAATGACAGTACAACAAAGATAGGTTGAACTGCCTGCTAATGATATTGCATACCTTTAAGGATCACTTTATTGTCCTTTTGTCTGCATTTAAGACTCTATTCCCCGGGAATGCGAGGAGGAATCAAGTTGAAGTTAACATCAAATATTGAAGACTCGATCTGTTAAGTTTAAGTTAACGAAAAAAAATATATATGTCAGCTTGTTATTGTTTGTGATGTGCATGTAGAAAAAAGAATGCATACACATAGTATGCATTCTTTTTTATTTTACTACTCTTTTATCACTCTTTTAATATTTTATTTACCTTATACGTTAATTACCTTTAAAATTAGGGAACTTGTCTGTGAAATATTCAAATGTACATACGCGTTTGTGAGTACTGAGTTGCAGACGTTCATGGGCGGCGATGGCACTTTCCATAAGGTGACTCGTCTGCCCCCTCTAACATAGAAAATATGTATATTTGAAGTTTTTTAAATATAAGCTTTTTCCTAAGCTAATATGATTGTTTGCATGAAATGGTCGATCCCACGACATAGGTATATATATAACTTTCAGACAATAACCGTTGAGTTGCGGTCCGCCAGGACAATCCCTTTGCCCGGGCCTCGCCTAAAATCCTCCTTTTGTGTTGGAGGGATGTAACGCCCGTTCCGCCCGCGTCCATTATAAATACTAACTAATACACAGCATATTTTTGAAGCTACTTTTAAAATCTTTAATTATGGCTCCGTTTTCAATAAATTTGTTAAAAAATTATTTTAAAATTGTCGCCATACTATTCATTTTAACAATAACAAAAATTACGATAAATATAACTCATCTATTCAGCTGTTAAGTACTTACGACAGGAAGCTAGAGACGGACTTACATAAATATATACAGGCCAAACACAAACCCTCCCTTTACTGCTTTTGCCGCAACTAGCAATTTAAATCCAATTTAACTAAAAGATAGTTTTTTGTGATTGTATGAGTGATTCTCGGGCTTCCTGTTACTCTTGTTACTGTTTACTGTCCTTTTTCCCAAAGTTACTTAAATAAATTGCAGAAAAACGAGGGGGAAGATGTTACACGTCAATAAAACAAAACTACTTGGTGCAACGAGACAACCGCGACAACCGTTCACTGTTCCGAACCTCGTTTTCTTTTATTTCGTTTACAAATAGAACACTGTCAATCAGGACTTGTTCTTTTTACATATTTTGTTTTACAGAAAAATGAGGTTTTCTTATTCGACACGAATTTAATATTGTGTTCTATTTTCACAACTGTGATATGAGTTAAAGTAGACAAACTGAACACGACATTTTGATATATAATGGACTATTATTACTTTTCGAGACAGACGAGCAGACAGGTCACCTGATGGAAAGTGACTATCGCCGCCCATGAACGTCTGCAACTCAGGAGTCACAAACGCGTTGCCGGCCCTTTAGGAAGGAGTACGCTCTTTTCTTGAAGGTTTGAAGGTCGTATCGGTCCGGAAATACCGCAGACGATAACCCGTTCCACAGATTGGTTGTGCGGGGCAAAAAGTGTCTCGAAGAGCGCACAGTAGTGTAACGCAAACTATCCAGGTAATGAGGATGAAAATATTGCCGTGTGGAAATTTGCAGCTAGTATTAGTCCGAACAATACCTCAGAGCACTCTCCATGATATATGCGATAGAGAATGCAGAGTGAAGCCACATCTCTACGTAACGCCAAGGGATCGAGCCGATCGGAGATGTTCGGGCTATCGACGATTCAAGTCGCTCTTCGTTGGATGCGGTCCAGAGGGAGAAGCTGGTACTGAGGTGCGTCTGCACAGAGATGAGAACAGTATTCTATATGCGGCCGGACTTGCGCCTTATAGAGCTGAAGGCGGTGGGCCGGAGTGAAAAACTGCGTCGATCTGTTCAGGACACTGAGCTTCTTCGAGGCCAATTTGACCTTACCCTCTAAGTGACCCCAAAACTGGACTTCGTTCGATATGTCGATGCCTAGGATTCCGATGCTGGCTGAGGCAGTTAGGGAGGTGTCCTCAAACTAAGGTGATACGACAAATGGTATATTTTTTGCGGTGAACGCACATACCTGTGTCTTTCTTGGGTTAAACTGGACTAGATTTAGTTGGCCCCAATCTGAAACCTCCGCTAAGGAAGTTTCAATTTCAGACATAAGTTTGATTCGACTCTCGATGACATTTTCCCAAGAAATATAGGGGCGGCCGGTATAAAGGGCATCTCATCTGCATGGCAATGAATGCTATTAGTTTGCAACGTGTCATTGATATGCATAAGAAACAGTGTGGGTGATAGCACACAGCCTTGTGGGACACCAGCATTTACGAATTTCAAGTCGGAGCATGCACCGTCGATATAGACCTTAATGCTTCTGTCCGTAAGGAAGCTGGTGACCCAATTACACAATTTCTCGGGCAGACCAAAGGAAGGGAGCTTCGAGAGAAGCGCCTTAAGCCAGGCCCGATCAAAGGCCTTCGCTATGTCTAAACTAACCGCACAAGCCTCTCCTTTGGTCTCGATCGCCTGTGCCCACCGGTATGTTAGAAAGAGGAAAAGATCTACTGTCTGCTATTGAGAAAAGACCCCCGATGTAGATCGACTGTGAACACCTACATTAAACTAAGGCACTCAGGAATATAATTGTAACCATCACGCTAATTCATAATTAAACACTTCATAACTACCTATGAATTTTCTGATAAATAACATTATGTACAGTATATGTTCAGTTTACTATAAAGGATTTATTACAAAAAAAGATTACACATTGAACTTTATTGGTACCCAGTCCAAGGTATCATAAAATAATATTTGTTTAAACTTTACTTCAAAACTGTATAATTAGAACATTGAGTTTGAGGAACATTTTGCTCAATGTTATTAAATTATTACAGTATGTTTTTACAGTAAAATCGGTGTGAGGGGTATGTGGACCCCCGGTCAGAACGAAGTTCCTTTCAAAGATAAATTATCGAGTAGACTCAGCTAAGCATCATACGCAGTAAGAAAAATTCGAGACTTGACTGATGTCGAAAACAGCACGACTTGTTTACTTCAGTTTTTTTCATAGCATAATGTCGTACGGTCTTCGATTGTGGAGGAATGCGCCCGACATTTCAAACTATTTTTTGTACTACAAAATCGTACAATTTATAATTAAGGCAATCATTGTTCATTCGGGCAGAAATTTAAAGAATTAAACATAATGATGGTAGCATGTCAATAAATATATGAAAATGTAACATATGTTCATAAAAACAAAGAATACTTTTAGAATCGAAGTAATGTACATTCTATAAATGCCAGAAATTGGAATTAATTTGTTGTACCTGCCTCTAGGCTCCAAAAAATAAACAAGTCATTTCGAGGTCAAGGTGTCCGATCTTATAATAAAATCCCAAATAATATATAAGATTTCAAAGTACAAGCTAATATTCACAAATTTAAAAAAACGCAAATTATGTCAGAAAGCCTACTACTCAATTGTGTATTACATAGAAGACAAAAAGGCTTGGGGTCAATTTAGCAAAGGCTATTTCTTAAGTGTAAATGTAGTGGTGGGATAATGTGTTTTTTATTAATTTATTAACTTTCATTTATATTTTCATATTTTTTTATTTATCTTTTTTTTCTCTCTTTATGGCCTTTTAACGTTTAGTCCTTAATAACTGACATGCTGGACCACATGAAAACAATGTTTTGGTAGGTATATTTAATGATGCCATTGTATCTATCTGTTAATTAAAAAAGAATGGAACGTTAGTTTGTTTGCCCCGTCTTAGCTTCTCATAGGGCTAGCATAGCCCTATGAGAAGAATGGCAAAAGAAGAACGGTTGTAGATCGGCACAGGCATACATGTCATAGGTATAATTTTCTCATATTTATTTTGCTAAATATTTGATTAAAACAGGGATTGTTGCTATTGTGTGCGTTGATCTATGACTTTAGATTCTACCTACGAAGATCAACAACAACAACAGCCTTTGATTGTCCACTGCTGGACATACGAAGATCACTATATAAATTTTGAGGCACGCAAAAAGTAAACAATATATACTTACAATTTATATTATATTTTTTTAAATACTGCCCATAACTATCTATACAATTTCCATCCGCCTACACCAGTCATGGAAACTCTTATTCCGGTCTTCCTTCGACAGGTCAAAAAGGGTTGATTCCTAGGCAGCCACTGCTTCTTCTGCACTTAAAAAAAAACTTGCTCTTTATCTTATCTTTTATCGTCGTCGTCTCTCCTGCACAGCTTTGAAAACTTATTAGATTATAGTGAACCATTCTGAGTTAAGAGACTTACAATTCTCTAGCATTGATGTTGCAAGATGTGCACTTTGTGAAATAAAAACTTGGGCCATCATCTTTTTGCCAATCTTCCGCCATCTTTGCAATTTTATTGGCAACTAGCCATCTGATAAACACCCATACCGAGGAACGCTTCTTGCTTTCCGGATCATATTGATCCGTATTGATCCATGTTTCGTCGCCAGTAATGATTTCAGAAACACGTTTCAAAACGTAGACGCTTCTCACTGCACCAACCATTCTTCTTGCCCACCATTATAAACCATCTAAAAGGTTGTCCGAGGAAGGAGCATATTTATAACTTTAGCTTATTTTATTTTTAACGTTCTAAGCGTAAATATTCAGATAAGCCACATTTAAAGTAGTAATATATCATAGCACGTAAATGTTCACGTTTAAGCTCCATCGTAACAGACAAAAAGCGGGTATTGATGACAGTATAATACTTCTAATATTTTTTATTGCAGTAAATGGCCTTGTGTTTTGGATTTTCAAATAAATTTGCCTTTTAATAATATATGACACAGATGCGTTCTATTTTCAAATTTCGAGCATCTCAAAACTTAAATTAATAGGTAGTGACCTACGTAAAAGGCGTACTATAGGTACGCGATCGGAAAAAGTCTTGTTACACATTTTTTGGTCTCGCTACCATCCGCTCAGAACGTATAACGCGCGATAAGGAGTTTCGTTCCGAAAACGGAGTTGTATAGAAGCAAGACTTCTATTTCGTAGTATGATTTTTGCTGATTAGGTATATTTTTTACAATAGCCATACTTCTATCATACCGTAAAGGCTATGTAGCTAATGCTTTCGATCCTGATTGGATATATCTATTGGGCGGCACAATACCACACACAGTACGATAGTTCTGTAGTGTAATGTATATAGTACATAAAAACCGCCAAAGTCCGCGGGTACAAAATTCCTTCCACGTAAAACTGAAACAAGGTACAGTGCAGAAGGTGTTGATACGCGACCGACATCGTCAGGACATGATTGAATATTAACACAGAGGCTTTATTAAAGTTAAAGCGGTTACGTCCCTACTTGTAGTCGCGTCTTCATACTTCAGATTAAGCAAGTTTAAAAGCTCTGCGAATGTGTGTTTCAGATGTAATGGATAACGCTGGCTGTATTAAGATATGATGTGACCTCTTTTGATATGATTTGATACTTCTATACGTTTATATTATAAAAATGTAAAAGTGAGTTTGTTTGTAAGCTTTCACGTCTAAACCACTAAATCGATTCTTTCCTTTAACAATGGAAACCTGTAGGTTTCCATTGTTGAAAGATCGTTGATAATGTATTATCAGCGAGTAACATAGGCTACTTTTTACCGCAATATCCGAACATACATGCCGGCGGAGCCACGGCCCAAAGCTAGATATAATATTACTAGATTATAATATCTGAAAATTGAAACGGTCATAACTTTTAAAACGGATGGTTCTTTTTTTAATTTTTTTTATAATTGAATGCTAAAGACAAGTACTATAAGTATTTAAAAACTAGTGTTCTATGCTAATGGACACCCGTATATTCCGGTAAACTAAACTATGATATAGAGTACCTACTTATGCTTGTGTTTTTGGTTCTCAGGTTACACCGAGGAGCAGCCTTCCACGCAATTCACCGCCCAGCTGCCGAATGAGGTTGAGCCCGGCCCCCGCCGGCACCGATCCCGCCCCTCAGCCGGCGCCTCAGCCACTATCCTACGCCCTTCTGCATCTCTCCACCTCCGACTCGACAGAATCGCCTTTTCTCCAGGTACAGCTCCAGTCTTCGCCTTGTCTCCCCCCCTCCGCCACCGGCGAGCGGCAAATCAATTTCTATGTGCTACACCAGCACTGGCGCCCTACTCTCCTTGCCACCAAAGAAAAAAGACATCTACCGCCCTTATTGCCTGGGTGACCGAGCTGCGCATCTTCACCGTGCCGAGGAAGATCTTAATGCGGCCCATGCTATCCTTGACTTAAGCCAGCATGCCGTATTTTTAACCACTCCAGCACCGGCGCCACAGCAGTTGGAAACCTGTTGCTCCAGAACCACAACCACCGCCGCCTCCTCCACCGCCTCCACCACCGTCTCCACCACCAGAGCCTCCCGTACAAGAGACAATTACCGAAAAGCCTCGCGAGACCGTTTGCATACACTTATGAGGCATTCTTTGTCAGCGATGGCCGCTCCAAACGTCGAAATTTTACCAACTCTCCCATAGAATCTATTCCACAACCAGAGTCTAAGTCGAAGTACACATGCAGTGAATGTGGTAAACGTTATGCGACGTCCTCAAACCTATCGCGGCACAAACAGACTCATCGGAGCCTCGACTCAGTATCGGCAAAGCGTTGTGGGGAATGTGGCAAAGCATATGTCTCAATGCCAGCACTTGCCATGCATGTTCTCACTCACCAACTGCAGCATGTATGTGGTGTATGCGGCAAACTTTTTTCCAGACCATGGCTTCTTCAAGGACACCTGCGCTCCCATACCGGAGAGAAGCCTTACGGCTGTGCACATTGTGGAAAAGCTTTTGCAGACAGATCGAATCTACGTGCACATATGCAAACACACTCCTCCGATAAAAATTTTGAGTGCACGCGGTGCCATAAGACTTTCGCTCTTAAGAGCTACCTGAACAAGCACCAGGAATCGGCGTGTGTGCGAGACGAGAATTCGTTCGATGAACCGGATGCACCCATCTCCGCGTCGGGCTAGCCACAATGGCCAACGCAACCAGGGACCGTAACCACCGCTAAATGGTTTTAACGTAAACGTAAAGTATTAATATGAATTTAGCTTGTTAGCGTAATATTAAAATTTACAGTATATGGAACCTGGAGCGAGAGCGTCGAGCGAGCGCGCACTCGCACGCTGGACGCACCGCTGCACAGTCAGCAACGTTTCGCATACAACGAATTCACGTACGACCCCGTAGAGCCGCGGCCGACGCGGTCGCAGGCATAGCGTCACACGTCCCCATAGCGGTTAACTTAAATTAAATATGTATGTACTCGTCGATAAAATATACCCTTATATACATAGAAAATATTAAAATATGAATTGAAAACTAATATCTTTTGTAGGTGATTTTTACAACCGCAAAGTAGGTTAGAGAGTATTACGGTGTAAGTTTAGCGTCGAGATGCGAGAGCCGAGCGCCGTGCTCGTCGGTGGAGGGCCGCGGGAAGTCGCGCGCCGCGTCCTCCGTCTCGGTGAGGAACTTGCCAAAACTTTCCGTCCGAAGCTCCGCACGCACGCCGCCGCGGGCGACTGCTGCACCTCGCAGCACCGTGGCACCGCACCGCATGGCGTCGGTCCGCGACAGTGCCTTATGCCTCCCGCCTCGCACCCGCCGAACTGATACCGCCCGCTTCAACGCGTGCATGTAAGATGACGAACTAAGTGGAATACTAAGTCAATTCACTAAATTGAAACGTTAATACAAAATTCGTATTGTACGAAACCACAATTGCTACGAGATATTCAGTGACGAAGCAATTACTTCCAGTAAATGTTTTTTAAAGATAATTATTCTTTGAACTAGCTTCGGCAACCAACTAAAATATGAAGACGCGACATTGAATGTAATCTTTTTAATACTAGAACTCTAGCAACCAGCCGTAGAAATCATGTAAAGGAGTCGGTAGATGTCGCGGAGGGATGTGTGAGCGGGGCGAGGGCAGCGGTCGTACCCTGTTGCGGCGACAGGGGTAGGGCCGCGCACCACAGCGAACATGCCTTTAGTCAAGCGTGTGTTAATAGGTGAAAAGTCAAACGTTACTGGCAATAAACTAACTTAGAATAAGGTAACATTAACATAGGTTATTGAGGAGAGCACGAGGTGCTTGGTGAAAAATGGGTATTCGAAAAGCAATAATAACGTAGTCACTAAAGTCGCGCACCGCTGTCGAGTAGACGCAGCAGACTATTTATTAACCCTGTAGCGCTGTATAGTATAACTTGAACCGAAACACCGGCCCCGCGGGCCGAGCTCGCGCGCCTGTCGCACTATGACGCGAGTTGTAGAGTACGTAGCAGCTAGATGTAGGCATGACTCGACGTGCGGTTCGAGCGAGGCCCGCGCGCCCCACGCCTTTCCCTAGTCTATTAGTTAATGCCTCAGTCAATTCGTTAGTGTTTTCTTTTAACCAGTCAATTAATACTTTAAAAGAAAGTTCCTGCATTTATTGAAACCAACTTTATTTGGGAACGCAATTATATGCCTTTTGGAAGTGGGAAACTACTAGACTGTTTTCATGTCGGATCATTTGAGTTAAAATGTCACCATACTTGAAAGCTGTTTAAGGCTGACTTTTACAAATTCAAAAACTTAAAATTGTCTCGTCCTTAAAATTATTTTGAGTATTGATGAATCTTACTGGGATTGATAAATTACGACCACTTACTTGAGAGGACTGCCTTTAGAGGCACTAAACTGAACTAGTCATTATATTCCATTTCCAGATACTTCAAGTAGATGTAGTGCCACAATTTATATTTCTTAGATACTGTAATATCACTTCCCTTCGTAATATATTAATCAATTTGATCGCCCACTGATTATTTCTAGACATTTAATCATAAATATGTGGAAATAAATGAATACTGATACTAATATTATAGAATATGGTAATGTACATGAAAATACTTAAGATGGCGGCGACCGTAGGGTTAAAGAGTATATAGTTTTTATAAAGTAGGCTATACCAGAGAAGGTGACGCGTAAAAAGCAATATTAAAGTAAATCAATAAGCAATACTAAGGTAGAAATAATTCTTTAATTATATAAAAGTGTAGAGAGTTAGTTATTTTGGTGCTTTGAAGTACTTATATTAAAAATTTGAATGAAACGAAATTAAACATCGAATCATTGGATAATGTGACACTGTGACTGTTCATTTCTGTCCTGCATACTTGTACTTAGTTGTACTCTGTTTCCCGTGTACTCTCACACTTTCTACTTCTAGTGCGGTAGTCTTACAACTAATATAGTTTCTTGTCTATTCTATTTATTCCTTCTAATACTCCCTTCGAGAAATTCTTTATTATCCTAACTACTAGCTCTTTTAATGACGTTAAGTAGAAAAATCGCAAACTATTGGCTTCTAAGGATAAAAAAAGGTAAAATTAAAAAACGAAGATATTTTATTCGAATATTATACTAACGTTATTATAATTGTAGCGGTTATACAGATAAGTACTAACGAGTAATATTAAAACCAACTTATACTATACAAAAATATAAAATATACACATTATAATGTAAATATGTCCCTGTGTACCAAATTTCTCTTCTTTACAATGTTAGTAGATGGTAGTATTATTAATGAATTAACTTATAATAATATATTATACATAAAAAACAATGTAGGTACGAATCAGTCCACCTCTAGTTATTATAGTAAACACTACAAAATTGTTTTACCTGTTATTTGCGCACTTCTCTAGCGTTACTTTGTGTCATTATCTACTATTATAATAAAGTAAAAACAATAAAAAGTTTAAACAATAACATTTTCTACTTCAAATGTTCCATTAAATATATTCAAATAAATAGTCTGTACTACAATAGTGTATAAATTACGTTAAATCTAATGCAAGGTACACACGAAAGTATTCCATAACTAAGGCAGTGAACGTAAGGTAGCTATAATCATGACTCGATCAGTAAGTTCTAATATACAGTGATAAAGACAAATATGTCCAAATTAGCAATACGATAAGCAATGAATCTATATTACATAAACTATCTAGCATAATTTTATATGCTGTAAACGATGCTAGGCACTCTGCAGTTTCATAAAATAGATGTCAGAAAACACTTATTTTTTCTTTTGAATTTTGAATATCGCAGCAATATCGTTTACCATTCATCAATTAGTTTGCAACAACTAAAATTGAAAAGAAATGCAAACATGAGCTATTTGATTTTTGGTACCAATATACACGGATGACGTAGTGGTTTAAGCGATCACCTCGCTGCTAAGTGTTGAGGATTCGATCCCCAAATCGGACAACACTTTGTGTGATCTACAAATTATTGTTCTGAGTCTGGGTGTTCTTTGCGTCCATTTCATGAATGTCTGTAAAGTCCCCGCGACACATGATATATTCCTAGTCTAGTTCCTAGTTCAAAAAAATATATTATCTGAAAATACTTGCCAACGCGGATAACGGGGTAGTATAAAAATCCTAGTTTGCCCTGCAAAATGTTATTACGATCTTACTTACGATCAAATTTTCTGCTGGAAAGTTCTTAGCCAATAGTTAGCTGTGAGGGTTGTCGGCTCTTAATTCAATGTCAAAGCCCTAGTGGTCGTTTACAGTAAATATATCTGACTATTCCTAGATTATTCTAGCTTATAGGCCATAACGTGAGTACGAGTAGAAAAGCAATAATAAAAAAGCAATATTGGTTAATAGATTTAGTTAAAGGTGTGAACGACTAAATTCGGCTGAATATTTAGACTGCGAACAGGTGATATGATGTTTTAACAATTTAATCCTTCGTTATTCGAATTGCTAAGAAAAAAAAAACAAAACAAAGATAAACGTTACTCAATAATTCCTAAAAATGAGACGATGACTATTTTTAGATGTTTTCGTGCTTTTTGATCGATTGAGGATTTAAGGATGGACATTCATAAAAAAATCTTGTGAATTTCAAATATTTTAACATTTTTCAAATACAAATGAAACAAAAACATCTATCGTATCATATAATTTTCTTATAATTAAATCCGATTTGATCGAATTATGTGTATCGAACTTTGTATTATACTGTCGAAAGTAATTTGTTTTTTTTTTTTAATTGTTTTTCTTCTTGCAATTCAGTCCGAAGTCTTGTTATCAGCAGGAATTAGAAGCCACAATACGCAAACACAACAAGGGATGCATCCCAAGCAAATAATCTTCGTTTATTGTTCAGAGCCATTGCATTATTAATAATTTAAAAAATGTATTTGAAATTAGGAAAATCAAAACCTTTGATCTCTGTTGTGATGTTTGGAAAATATGGAAAAATTAATAATTCTAGTAGTAAGAACAACTAGATAATGAAACTCCTGAAACAAGTGTTACTTATATGCAGTTAAAACTATTAAAACCTAATTATATAATTGCGAACTTTTAATCGCAGTAGTTCTATAAATTAATTATTCATGCGGAATGGCTATTCGTTTTCTTTACAGCTTACGTGTTCAATCAAATAAACGCGATAAAAACTTAAATTTTATTAGAAACGGTTGTAAAAAGTACTAATCAAACACCTTCAATTACGTAACGTAAATGAATATACAACATTTACACAACACGTTTCCTTAGCTCGTTAGTTAACTAATTAATTAATAGGTGTGGGTAAATAGCAACGAAAAGCAATTATTAATGTGAAAAGATAGACAAGCAATACTAAATTTAAGTGAAAAGTAATTAATACGACAACGATAAGCAATATAATCGAGATTGACAACGAATTGTTTTTCATTCGTAATTTATTTGCACAACGAAAATATATTCAGAATTATTTACTAACGCTAGGGATTGATAAAGTATTCGTATTTTAGTTTAGTAAAAAGTAAGTAGACTTTTATATAGTCGATTTTTTCATTTAGGTCGTTATTTGTTAATTTTTTTATTTAAAAGAAGATATAAAGCCTGGTCGTTGTAATTAACAGGGCTACCGGTTATTATATTGAAATAAGAAAAATCAAACTAAAATGTTGGAGCTTACAGTGTGAATTTAAATACAATGGCTTGCCTGAAATAAAACATCGTATTGTACGTAGACATCGAAAAGCTGTATACCTGGAATTCGTTAGGTCGTTATATTTAAGGTTAAAGTTCAAATTGATATATTGTTTTGTGACTTGCCAATACTGGTTTCATATAGCAATAATTTATATACATAGCGTTGTATTCGTCCAGGAACTCGAATAGTGTTCAAATTTTTACAAAACCGTTTTCAAATTTTAAGAAATATCTTAATTTCGAAGGAATAGAGTATTTCCAATTTTTTATTAATTACAAACTAATAAATAATAAAATCCGTTGATAAACAGAGGACAAAATAAGTAATGAACTATTTTGACTTTATCTATTTATACAAATAGACTTGGCGCTACTGGCAGCCCTGATAATTAGTCTACGAATGAAAAGTCGCGGATAGTAAATTTAATTCTAGGTTCGTTTAGTCTAGTCATAGCGTAGATAGTATCTCTAGTCATATTATATATAACTCGATAATCTAGTAGTAGAAGAAATGGTGATTATTATAGTATGTGAGGGAAGGTTAGTTACAGAGTTCATTAGTGTCTGATACTGTGTTGGCCTTATGAATTTTTGTATAAGTGAGCACACTCATTACCGTTTTTTTGTTCTTAAGCCAATCTTAACTAATCTGAATAAGAAAGGAACTCTTATTAATACTAGTTAAAAATAGGTAAAAAGTCTTAATTAGTTTTTAATTTTTAAAACAGATTGTTTATTTACAATCTGTGTACTCTAAGTAATACAAACTTTGAGTATATTTTTTTTCACTAGAAACTGCCGTATTTCTCTTTAGCAGATTAACCCATATAGTTTCGAATCCAAATAACTTAGAACTTTTGAAAATATACTCACTTATTCAACAAATTCAATAATAAAATGTAAACAGGATACAGAAAACAACTGCTGCTAACGATTAAAATCAACGTGATTGTTACGTAGTAGTCAAAGGTATACAAAGGTTACTTGCGGATCTATAAGTGTCACCTTTTGTAAGTAACCTTTATTAGTAACCTACACTAACTTATAATCTTATAACTTAGTACCACTATAAACTTAATCAGAGAATTTGAATCCTTGACCGTATATATTTTACTGTAATTATCATAAGCGTAGTGTGTCAATTTTTTAATTCACATATTCCTTCCTATTAAGCAATTATTATATACCAAAAGTACCTACAGATTTAGTATAACATTGCATGAAATACATTATTACTATAGTAGTGTTAAGTATAAAAAAATACTTCAAATGTTGCATTTGATAAGTAACGACGAATTTAGTTGATGTTTAAATTGTTTTTATATGAGTATTGTCAGGTACAACATAACCAGAGTTTGACCGAACAATTGTATACTCCATATTAATGAATGTTAAAAAAATATCTGAACCCACAAAGCCTAAGCCTTGCTTGAGTAGG